AAGTTTTAGGTAAAACTCCATGGAGGAGCAACCATTTTGGAACAATCTTTTGGTCTCAGACGGCAGCACCATTAAACATCTAGATAAGACTGAAGTTGTCTGGTGGGAACTCAGGTGAAAACGCTAAGCAAGAGGGCGAGCGTTTTACTCAGAACCAGGAAGACGTCTGCGGGGTCAGTGGTAGGTGGGGGCTGAAAAAGACATGGCGGTCACGGAAGTACAGGAGGTGGCTGGAGATGGCAGTTAGTAAACAAAGCACATTATTTGGACTCAAGCCTTCTGTCTCCCCAGGTGGGTCGCTGGACTCAGAGCAAGTACCCTGCTGTTCGCTACACGTTGGCGGTGGATGACCAGCCGTTACCATGGAAATAAAGGGAAGCCTAGGGCAACAGTGAGTTCTCTGTGCCGCCACCTAACTCCGCGTGGAGGAAAATAATACTGAAGAATTGGCTACCGGGTGGGGAAAGAGGTGAAGGCAGCTGAGAACCAGGGTTGGGGGGACTCTTGGCAAATCAGGAGTTACTGACCCTTTTGTGCAGTTTTGGGGCATGAGCCCCCTTGTCTCTGCAGACATATCATTAAACCAACATCGCACATTAAGGAAGGATATGGTCTGTCTAAATCACTCTTGGGTGAATAATATTTCAAGCGTTTTAAGACTAACCAGGAAATGAAATGAACAGATTCCTTCCTTGGCAGAATCTTGGTGGATTCTTTTTACAATACAAAGGGAAAACTGAACACATCTGTATTTAGTATGAGCAATTAAGTTCAGGTCGAACTAGTTTTAGAAGAATTGTCAAACAGACCGGGATGCGGGGCTGCAAGGGACCCAGGGAGGCTGGAAAACTGAGCTGTGTCCTTGTAACTGCTAATTAACAGTCAAGAGATGCAGAGAGAGAACTAGATAAAGTTCTAGAAGCCAAGTGCACCGTCAGAGGTCCCAGCCTGTGGGACGACGGGTATCAGTCAAAGTGTTTGGCAGAGACTTCAGGGGGCACAGAGGATGCTGTGGGAGCCAAGAGAAGATCCAGTGGCTTCTTTTAATAGCAGGACAATGTCCATCTCCAGCAGGCTGGAGGGGTTGAGAAGCGGCCACTGGTTTATCAACAAGCAGGAAGTTTGCTGATGGAAGTTATGGCACAGAAAGGACCCCAAAGTACAAGACCCCAACACACGGGAAAGGACCCAAACGTGAGTCCTCGGGACAGAGAGAGTGAGAACTGTCTTCTCCCTGCCGCCCGCAGGAGGCAGGGACCACTGTGAGCATCAGGTGTCCCCTGAACCCCAAGCAGTTTGAGTTGTGGCCACCTGGGAGCCGCCCCGGACTCGGGGAAGAGAATGGGAGAACCCTCACCAGCAGAGGAGGGGCTGGCAGAGAAACTCCATAACGGGAGGCGGGCCTTCTGATGGAGACTCAGGAACCCTAGAAGATTCGCCAAGCACACGCCCAGGAGGAGGGGGAGATGCTTCCGGGTCCGCGGTGACAGCCTAAGGACACACCTCAAACGGCCAATTCCCAGTGCAGAACAAAGGCTGGAAGCACCGGGGCTAGGACCAGGGGGCACGTGGAGCTGAAGACAAGCAGGGAGAGGATCAGGACGGCACCACGTGGGGGCAGATCCAGGACAGCTCCTCTGAGGGAGGGGTGAGGCTGGGACCCCCTCAGCAATGGTAAATCATCCAGGGAGAAACACCCACACTGGCCACATCGGCTGTCAGCCAGGGAAGCCGGGAGCTGCAGCCCGATCCAGCTGGGCTGGGCCACTGCACATTCACTCTTTCAGGGCAGCTCGTGGGGGCGGGGTGGCATCTGCTGGGCGGGCAGGCTTGGGGGTGGGGGTCGGCCACGGCCATCGTGGAGGAGTCGTCATGGGCTTGGGGAAGGGGTGGGCTATGTCCGGCGGGGAACAGACTGAAGACTCCACTTGGAAGTCAAGATGCTTGGAATCCATCCCCTCAATATAATCGACTATAAAAAAAAAACCTCTGATTTTGAAAGGATGAGGACTAAGGATGGAAAGAAAGTTATTACCATTAACTTAGACTGAAGGATAACACAGATTGAAGGAAGTATAGGAAGTCTCATGACCAAGCTCATCATGAGGACAGAGAACAGAAAGCACAAGGAAGAAGGAAGTGACCTTTGCTTAGTAAAGGACTAAGGGTCAAGGTCATCAAGAAAAAGCTGTTCTTAAGCGCCTTTAGTTTATCTCCATTACTATCGACCCCAAATATGCAAAGCCAAGTTTCAAAACCAAAGTTAAGGCTTGTAAATAATGAATTCCTTCTTGCATAGTTACTCCTTTAAAAATATCAACTTGCTATAACTTTCTCCTTTAATGCCAATTCTTAACAAATTAAAACACAATAACAGGAGTGTAATTGAGCATTTATGGCTTATGGGTTCTAAAATGAGGCCAATCTGAGAGAGACTAAGCCCCAGCATGGTCTCTTTTTTAATAGGCATGTTTTAACATACAATAACCAGGATATTTTGTTTAAAATTGTTTCAGAAATGCACCAAGTGTCGGCTCTCTGGATTTGAACGTGGTGACAGAGGGCATTTATCTCTGGCTCAGCACAGGCTGTTTTCCTGCCTAAGTTAGGCGCTGAAAGTTTGGGGGAACTAGTTCTTTAGAAAAAAATCAGAATATAAATTTGGTAATTCTTTTATTGCAAGCCAGTAAAATAAGATTTAAAAAAAAACTTTACAAAATGCATTTCCTAATCCACTGGAGCCTTCAGAAACAGGTGGACAGTGGGACCATGAGTCCGTGGTTCCCAGCTGCTCCCAAGAGAGACGACACTGAGTTTTCTGGTTTTGAAAGAACTCATCCTTTTCATCCCTGCCCAGCTTGGTACTTGAGGAATTAAAGCGACAGCTCTAAACAAGGTTGCCGCCCAGAATGGGGACGTGCAGCCTGGTGGTCTGCGGTCCGGTCCTCGCTGGTGAGCGAAAGCCAGCAAGCTGGATTTTGATATGCAAATGTCACTGAGACTACCCTGCCTGGGTTCCTTGTAGAAAATGCTGATGGAGGATAAAAGGGGAAAAAACCCTTTAACAAGGCATGAGGGTAATTCAGAGCCAAGTACTTTTAAACAGCACTTAACAAGTCCCGGGGGCCCACTCAAGAGCCGGGCCCCCCAGAGGTGCCGTCTCCTGCCCCTCAACAGCTTGAAAAAGTCGTAATTGCAAACCTATTTGCATTTTCCTTCGCGAGTTGTCCATGCTCATTGGGTGGATTATTTTTTCCAAGCAGGCGCCAGAGCAGAGGGACGGTCCCCGAACGTGTGGATAGCTCCGTACCGGTGCGGCGGTCCCCCTGCCACCCCGCTCCTGCACCTTTGCAATCCTTGTTTTTTACATTTGGCTCCTAATTATGTGGCATCTATTGCCGTACACTTAATTAGCTGCATTAATGTGATTTCTTTTTACATAGTCAAGCAATTAAGAGCTATGATTGAGTTTCATTCAATTAGCCTCAACAAACATGCTAATTGATGTCCCAGATGCAAATGAGGTGCAGTGAGAGGAACCTGGTAGCAATTGAGAGCATGTCAGAGACCCAGGGCTTTCGGCTTGCTGACAGAAGCACAGCTCAGGGTGCCTCCCACCTTCTGCGGGGCTGCCTTTCGAGAGGGCGCAGAATCCTCCGTGCCTCCGTAGGTGAACCACATCCCTCCCAATGTGAGGATGAATGGATTCCCCGCCATTAACGATGCGGTCCTAAAATCTCAAGAGTTCCATGTTACCAGGACTGGCAGGTCATCACTGGAAAACACTGAGCTCCAGCAAGGAGGATGGTATTAAGTCCCCATCAAAATACCGCGAGCTGCTCCTAAAAAGATCCCGCAGGACTTCTCCCCAAACGGCCAAGGGAACAGCATCCTGGCGCCCCGTGTGTGCGTGCCAGCCACAGTTCTTGGCAGATGGTGAGTTCATCTTAGTCAGCTCTGGGGCATTTGACACTTGAAGTTAAGCTCAAAATACAGCAATCCATCAATAGTCCCTAAAAATACTCTTACTGTATTGATTCTCACCGCCTCCCGTCCCTTTTGTTACCTTTGGCTGTCTGGTGAAAGATGGTTTGCTTCATGTGTTCTCTGGGTACCAAAAGCAGTTAACAAGATCTTAAAGTGAAACCAAAATGCATTGACGATGTGATTGGCATCCCAAAATGAGATCATCAGAATAAAACACACAGCTTTGAAAGTCTACTCTCTTCAAGTACAGATAATGCAATCAACACCACTCCAATCGTATACATACTTTGTAAAGGTATTAAGACACCTCATTTCCATCATTAACTGATGGGAAAAAAATTACAGAAATCTTTGCTTCAATTAGATTTTCTCAATATGTTCTGGTTTCTAATTGTACATAAATGCTGAGAAATTTATGAATTTCTATTACTACGTTCTGTGTTATCTGAGCGAGATAACTGTTGGGACACGGCAATGCTCACTTCCGGTCTTTGCCACGGCTAATCTCATTGGGCGT